GCCCCCCCCGGGGGCTCGGCCGGGCAGGGGCGCTGGGAGGGGTCAGTGCGGGTCGGGGCCCCCCCGCCCCGTTCCCCGTTGCCGGGCGCTGGCGCGGGGCCCGGCGGGGCCCCAAAAGGGGCCGCAGGCGACAGGTGACGGTGGCGGGGACAGGACGGGACCTTGGAGCGGGATTTGGGGGGGGGGGGGGGGGCAGGAACAGGGGCCGGGGGGGGGGGGCGGGGCCCCGTGACGTCACGGCCCCGTGACGTCAGCGGTAACCACGGCGACGCGCGGGTGGGCGGGGCCTGCGGGGGGTGGGCGTGGCCGGGTCTCCCCCGGCTCCGCCGCGCGGGGGCGCTGCCGTCCCGCCGCGAGGCCGCGCGCTATGCAAATATATGCAAAAATATGCAAATGACACGGGAGCGCGGCGGCGCCCCCTGGCGGGCGGCCGGTGGGGCAGCCCCTGCCCCGCTCTCGGTACGGGGGGGGGGGGGGGCAGATACCCCCCGGGGGGGCCGGGGGGGGGGGCCCCCGGGGCCTTCCCCCCCGCCGTGGGGCCGCGCTGGGGCTGCCGAGGGGTCACGGGGGTCGCGGGGGTGGGGGGCAGGCGCTCGACCCCCGCACTGGAGGTCCCCCCCATTCCCAGTATTCCCAGTATCCCCAGTATCCCCAGCATCCCCAGCGCCAGCCGGGAGATGCTGCTGCGGGAAGGATGGAAATGCGGGCGGGGGGAGAAGGTGGCAGCCCCCGGGAGTGACACCCCCTTCCCCCCTCCCCGCTCCTTCCCCTCCTGTCACACAGCTTTAAATGCCGGACCATTAAAATTTTCCACCTCATTTGCGGCTCCTCACACGGTTAATTTTCCCGGGATTGTCTATTTATTTATTTGTGGAGCCCTGCGGGAGGGGGGGGGAGGGAGCAGCTGATTTGCTGCATCTGGGCGGCGGGGAGGGGAAGGGGGGAACCACCCTGGGAAGGGGGGAGGGCTCCGGCTAATTTAACAGCTGAAGAGAGCAACTTAATTAGAGTCAGCTGGAAAATTGGGTAAAACCCCTTCCATCAGCCTCCCTTCCCCCCCAGCCCCCCCCTCCTTGCCGGCTCCTGTTGGGATGCGTTTTGGGATGTGTTTTGGGATGGGGGAGGGAGAGCTGGTCCCAGCCAAGCAGTTGCCCTTCATTACAGCCCGGAGCTAATTGGATTGATCAGCAGTTAATAGGAAATTAAGAGCTGAAGCCCCTCGACTCCCCCCCCCCAGCCCCACCGTGTGCATCCCCCTCCTCGAATCCCGTCACTGGCACCCGGTGGATGGGCTGGGGGGGGGGACTGGGAAGGGATTCTGCCCCCCCCCCCCCCCCTATTACGGCTGCCGAGCACTTTAGGGTTTGGGTTCTCCTGTTTTCCCGTGGTTTTCCCGTTCCCGGTGCCCCCAGCCTGGTTGTGACGTAGGTGTTTGCAGAGAGGGGGGGTCGTGGGGACACTCGGCATCTCCCCGCACCTCCCCAGGCGAAGGGGGCGCCCCCCATCCCACCCCTTGGAATACACAGGGATGCAGCTGGAGGAGCCCCCCTGACCTCCAGATTAATCACCTCCATTTCTCTCCTCATCCCAGGAAAGGTCAGGAGTCTGCAAGGCCCAGGAATTAATTGAAATCCCACCGGTCTCGTGCCGGATCCATACATCATCCCAAGGGAGCAGCTCCGTGATGGAGGGAAGGGGGGGCAGCCCCTCCTGCACCCCCTTTCTGGGGCGCGCGGAGAACAGGGAGCGGCAGATGCAGCGCTCGGAGCTTGTTCTCCATCTCCAGGCAGGGAAATAAATGGATTAAACTAAACTAAAGCGTCTGCGCTCCCCACCTGCCCCCCCGGCCATAAATCAGCATAAATGCAATTTCCATATTCATGGTATTTATCCAATAACTGTCCTGTCCCAGATTAAACGCGCCCTGGGGAGCACCGGGGCTCTTATCTGTGCCGGGGGGGCTCCCGGGGAGGAGCGGCCCTGCTGGGGGGCTGCGGTGGAGGGGGGGGCTCCGCTCCGCATCCTCTTCATCCTCCTCGTGGGGGACCGGAGCGGGGACTCTGCTCCTCACCCTCTCCCATCGCTCCCGGCCCCGGCGGCTCCTGGGAGGGGAGCTCAGAGGGGGGATCCGGGACTCGCCAGGGTTCCTGTCCCTCTCCCTTCCCCTTTCTTTCCACTTTTTTGCCTTTCTCCCTCTGCCTCCCCTCCCTCTGTTCCCGGTCCCCACAAATCCCCTGCGTGGGCAAGGAGAGGGTCCCATCCTGCTCCGGCACCTGGGGGGGGGGACACACGAACCCCCGGCTCGGAGGGCAGGACGGGGGGTGCTGGCGTGGTTTGGGGGGCAGGTGCCCCCCTCCAACCCCCCCTGTGTCCCCAGTGCCGGGGCTGGGGACACACACACGCCCCGTCTCCCACTGTGACAGGTCCCTGTCAGCCCTAATGACCCGAGGCCGGCGGGGCCCCGGGGCTCGGAGCTCGTTACGGGGGATTTAATGAGGGCAGGAGCAGCCACCGCCGCTGGCTGTTTGCCACGGGCAGTGGCCTCGGGCCCCCGGGCCCCCGAGCCGCGCGGTGCCCCCCCCATGGCACAGCGCCGAGCCCCCCAGACCCCCTTCTCTCTGCCCCCCGCAGATCTGGGGGGCCGGGGCCGTGCCCCCCCCGCTCCTGCTGCCCCAGCCTCTGGTGGGGGTGACAGAGGAGTTTGGGGGCTCTCGGGGTGGGGGCGAGAGGCACCAGGGAAGGCAGATTTTGGGGGGCAGCAGAGCCAGGGGCAAAGGGGGCTGCAGCCAGAGCTGGGGGGGGCCCGGGGTTGGGGTCTGTCCCACACGCAGAGGTGGTGGGGGACAGCCTGAGTGGACCCCAAATCCGGGGGGGCTACGCGGTGGGACGCCGGTCTCAGCTGGGGGGGCTCAGCCGTGTGTGGCAGGGGGGGGGGGAGCCCCGGCCCTTTTGGGGGGGGCAGCTCTGAGCCTGGGGGGTCCCGTCTCTGCTCTGAGGCTGCCGCGTCCTTCTTGGCTCCACAACAACCTGCGCCAACAGGAGCCTGCGGGCAGCGGGAATTAGTTAAATATTTGGCAAAGCAGGAGGCGAAGGCAGGATCGGAAACAATTGGGGGGGGGGGGGGGCCCGGCCCCCCCCCCCCGCTGCAGGGAGGGCAGAGCCCGGATGCCCAGGGGTGGTCGCATCGTGCTGAGCCCCCCGCGCAGGGCAGCACAGACCCCACCCTGCAGTCAGAGGGCGGGGGGTGCAGAGGGGCCCGAGCAAACCAGCCCCGGCCCCCCGATGGGCGGGGGTCCCTGGGTGTTGAGATCCCCCTTGTCCCCCTGGCACCCCTGTTTGCCTCCCCCTCCTCCCCCCCGGTCCAGTGACCCTCCCCAGGCACTAACTGGGGCAGGGATGTGCTTTAGGGAGAGATCTGGGGGAGCAGGTCTGATCCTGGGGGCCCGGGAGGAGACCTGGGGGGTCCTGGGGAAGGGCAGAACATCAGGATCAATCCCTGCCCTCCTGGCCCCCCCAGCTCCTCCCGGTTCCTGACTGTGCTCCCCCAGGCTTTGGGATCCGCCCTCCCAAATCCTTGGCGGAGGATGAACCGCCCCAAAGCTTGGCTGGGGCCGCGGCCGCCGCCGCCTCTGTCCCCACAGCCCCTGTGAGGTGAACTAAATCCATCCTAATTAGCGCTGATTTGCATGGGGAAATGAAAATTAATCTAGCCCGGCTTTATTGGAATTAGTGATTCCAGTTGGGCACATCAGACAGTGGCAGACGGCTGAGGGGGCCGGGGGGCCGCCCCCCGTCCTCTCCCCCCTCCAGCCGGGTTTGGGGTCGCTCGGTGGGGGCACCGGGATGCCGGGGAGCACCCACGGGGATGGGATCAGGAGCCTGGGATGGGCTCAGCACCCTCCCGGTGCCCCCCACTGCCCCCACCCCCCTCCCAGTGTCCCCAGTTGCAGGAGAAATCAAACAGCTCCTTTCGCCCCCGCTGTCCCGTCCCACAGGTGGTTCTGGGCACGGTGGGAAGAGAAGAAGGGCAGGGACGAATCGGCGCTGCCGGAGCGGGAGACGCCGCCGGGCCCCGGGATTTGGGGTGGGGGGCGTCACGCGCGCGTTCCATCCCCGCGTTTCCACACGCACGTGTCTCTTCCTGGGCATTCCCACGCGTGTGCCCCGTGCGTGCCACGCAGGAGCACATTCCCGTTCCGGAGGTGGGGTCCGCAGCGGGGGGGGTGCCCCGGCCGTGCCCACCCCCCCCCAGCAGCCCTCTGGCCCCGCTGCGGGCCCGGGGGTGGCACCGGAGCTCATTGTTACGGGGCCCGTGCGAGGGGGCGAGAGGAATTCTCATCCCGCTCATCAAAAATTAACGAGGAGGAAACAGCTGGGCAGGAGCCGGGGGCGCGGGGGTGGCACAGTGTGACAGACTGGGGGGTTCGGCGCCTGGCACTTCACAGATCCCCCCTCCTTACTGTGACCCTCCGGCCCCAAACCGGCCCTATCCCTCCGGGATGGGCTGTGTCCCCCGCGGGAGGACCCAGTCCTCGGGCAGGTTGCCCTCGTGGCCCATCACCACCTCGGGGACAGGTCTGGCTGTGTCCCCGTGCCCCATCACC